CAGTTGTGTGTGATTTCCAGTTTCCAGAGGGACACTCGCAGATAAATATGATTCCTCTTCTGACTGTAGTTTATGATGAGCTCCGGTGATGATTGACATCATCAGCTTCATCATTCATTGGCTTTGAGGGATTATATAAGAGCATGTGAGCGTCTCGATGAGCTCTGTTCCAGACATCTTATCTGGATCTTCACAATCATAAATTCATAAACATGGATGAAATGGCAGCACGGCGGCAGACGCTGATCAAACACACACTGACTCCGCGAGAGCTGACCAATCGCTCAGTGTTTACAGTGAATACTGACGGACATTCACAGAGCAATCAATCAAGACGCTCATTCTGCCGTTTACAGTTCATCATATACTGGACATCTACAGGACATCTACAGGACATCTACAGGACATCTACTGGACATCTACTGGACATCTACAGGACATCTACTGGACATCTACTGTACATCTACTGTACATCTACAGGACATCTACAGGACATCTACTGTACATCTACAGGACATCTACTGGACATCTACTGTACATCTACAGGACATCTACTGGACATCTACAGGACATCTACAGGACATCTACTGGACATCTACTGTACATCTACTGTACATCTACTGGACATCTACAGGACATCTACTGGACATCTACTGTACATCTACAGGACATCTACTGGACATCTACTGGACATCTACTGTACATCTACTGTACATCTACTGGACATCTACTGTACATCTACAGGACATCTACTGGACATCTACTGTACATCTACAGGACATCTACTGGACATCTACAGGACATCTACTGTACATCTACTGTACATCTACAGGACATCTACTGTACATCTACTGTACATCTACTGGACATCTACTGTACATCTACAGGACATCTACAGGACATCTACTGGACATCTACTGGACATCTACTGTACATCTACATGACATCTACTGGACATCTACAGGACATCTACTGGACATCTACTGTACATCTACAGGACATCTACTGGACATCTACAGGACATCTACTGGACATCTACTGTACATCTACAGGACATCTACATGACATCTACTGGACATCTACAGGACATCTACTGGACATCTACTGTACATCTACTGGACATCTACAGGACATCTACTGGACATCTACTGTACATCTACTGGACATCTACTGTACATCTACAGGACATCTACATGACATCTACTGTACATCTACAGGACATCTACTGGACATCTACTGTACATCTACAGGACATCTACTGGACATCTACAGGACATCTACTGTACATCTACAGGACATCTACTGGACATCTACAGGACATCTACTGTACATCTACAGGACATCTACTGGACATCTACAGGAAATCTACTGGACATCTACTGGACATCTACAGGACATCTACTGTACATCTACTGGACATCTACTGTACATCTACAGGACATCTACAGGACATCTACTGGACATCTACTGGACATCTACTGTACATCTACAGGACATCTACATGACATCTACTGGACATCTACAGGACATCTACTGGACATCTACTGTACATCTACAGGACATCTACTGGACATCTACTGGACATCTACTGTACATCTACAGGACATCTACATGACATCTACTGGACATCTACAGGACATCTACTGGACATCTACTGTACATCTACAGGACATCTACTGGACATCTACAGGACATCTACTGGACATCTACTGTACATCTACTGGACATCTACTGTACATCTACAGGACATCTACATGACATCTACTGGACATCTACAGGACATCTACTGGACATCTACTGTACATCTACTGTACATCTACTGTACATCTACAGGACATCTACTGTACATCTACAGGACATCTACAGGACATCTACTGTACATCTACAGGACATCTACAGGACATCTACTGGACATCTACTGGACATCTACAGGACATCTACTGTACATCTACAGGACATCTACTGGACATCTTCTGTACATCTACAGGACATCTACTCTACATCTACTGGACATCTACTGGACATCTACAGGACATCTACTGTACATCTACAGGACATCTACAGGACATCTACTGTACATCTACTGGACATCTACAGGACATCTACAGGACATCTACTGTACATCTACTGGACATCTACTGTACATCTACTGTACATCTACAGGACATCTACTCTACATCTACTGGACATCTACTGGACATCTACAGGACATCTACTGTACATCTACAGGGCATCTACAGGACATCTACTGTACATCTACAGGACATCTACAGGACATCTACTGTACATCTACTGGACATCTACAGGACATCTACAGGACATCTACTGTACATCTACAGGACATCTACTGTACATCTACTGTACATCTACAGGACATCTACTGTACATCTACAGGACATCTACTGTACATCTACAGGACATCTACTGTACATCTACTACACATCTACTGGAAATCTACTAGACATCTACTGCACATCTACTGGAAAACTACTAGACATCT